ATACTTTGAAAGGCGTTCTATTAGATAAGATCAAGGAAATTGAAAAACAAATTTACACTCAGGTAGACCTCCCTTGTGAGGCTACGGCCCGAATACCACTGGCTGAAACCAACACTTCAGGCCCGGGTCACTCCAGACTTGAAACCAGTCAGATGGGCCTCAGTCGGGCGAGTACGGAAAATCCGGATTTCCAGGGAACCGCGAAATGCTACGGGACGCGATACTGACACGTCGCTTTATAATACGAAGCTCTGATATATTGACGCGTATACCGTTCGTACGAGAGGGAAGTGGGATAACGTACTCGTGCCGAGGAGGTCTAGACAGTTAACAGCTTAATCACGTGCGATAAATCGAATAGATCTACGTGCAAGACCTTCTGGAATTTTATCGATACGTTCATTGTTATATTCACAGTATCAAATTACACTCAATTGGAGCCATTTTTAATCATTCCTGTAGGTCGCCATTGCTCCTACTCAATATGTCATTAATTTAATTAAAACACTGTTAATTTAACTGAACCAATGGAGTTAAAATAATACTGTTTTGTATCAAAATAATAAGTTTCGACACACATGTAGTTAAAAATAACAAAATGTTATTTAACTCAAAGTATTGGTTTAAACTTCGTCCTTTAATATTTAACAGTGATGATTGCCTAAGCGAAACGGCAGTCTTACGTTCATTTCCCTCGCGATCATTGACAATTTTTCGTCCACTTCACTTACGCCAACGTCGGTTAACTGTAAGCTTCGGTTAAACTCATTCCTCGTCTCTTTCCAAGGGGGCAGTTAGACAGAGACGAAGAGTGAGTTTAACCGCGGAAGGTTACAGTTAACCGACGTTGGTGAAATTGGCCCTTAGAGAATTCATAAAAAGAGTTTGAGAGGATTTTAATGAAGCTCTCTCGCAGCGCGATCTCAATTAATCTCAATCTCGCCGTAATGGAATTTTCACTCGTGTCCTCGCTAGGAAAATAAAGAGAGATCACTCTGCCACGTGCACAATCATCGTCCTCCACGTGCGCGGACGAAACGTGCAGGCGCGAGATGCAAAAGCCTTCGGCCTTGCCTCGGTTTCAGAAAATATGCACCGCGCACTGTGTGAAAATGTGCACAAGCGACCGTTATGCCACATCCACGCGTAACCATGTGGACTGGTCGATCAGTAATCATAAGCCTCGGCGTATTCACTACACGCGCTTAACCACGGGAGATTAACCCGTTCGCTCACTTCAGCAAACCGGCGATGGCTCTCGTCCCGCGATCCACACCTGTCCGTCATCAAACGCTTTTTCGAATGGCGACGCGGAGGGAAAAAGAAACCCGAAGCGGGGAAGAAGTCTCGAGACGGCAGGCGACGATGAAAGAAAAGAGGTTTGACGCTCGATTAAGCCTGACATCACCGAGGAAGAGAAGAAAGGCCGTTCTGCGGTCGCTTGTTGCCGATGTAAAAAGAATTTCACTGTGGTAAACGTTCATTCAGTGAGAATAGAAACAAAACATATAAATAATAATACTTCTCGATGCGGAACAATGTGCTCTTCTACATTTTCCGTCAAAAGTGAATTTACTGAAATAGCCAAATTTGCACAGACAGATTCTGAGCAGATCTTGCAGCAAATTTTTGGTGCCAAAAAAGGCAACAAATTTTGCAGGGAAGCTGATGTATCAGATGGTGTCAAACTGTTGTCAAACCAGAATAACAGGTAGGATGAGCAGATAGAGCAGAAACCCTGCTGCCTGTTTACATCGCCTGTCAGCTGGCTTTGTTTGCGTGATTTCTGTTACTAATCTGCTCACGTTGGCTGCGTTCGCTTTGGACATTTTCGTGCTGAAAGCATCGCTCCATCTTTTTTCAATATGTAATTAGCAATAAGGGTGGACTGTAATGAGCAATAAAGATAGACTCAGCACGAAAGCGCCCAAAGCGAACGCAACCATTGTCAGCAGGCTCTGTCAACAGAACACGAGTTTACGCAGGTATTAACTCCCTCGATCCTATCTGGCTATCCGGAGGGAAAGAAAAAGAATGAAGGAAGGATGCCACGCGCTTTGGTTTTGGATCTGGTCAAATTTTCTGGATTTCTGTGCGCATGCTGCTACCATTTTGCTCACTGGGCATAGCATCGGAGGGAATGCAATTCACATATCACAACCCAAGAAGAATACACAACTCAAACAATTTTTAATTAAGCCTATAAAAAATAACTTAAATAGCTTAAAACGTTACCTACGTAATAGTGTCACAAGTCTATATGCAGCTGCACAGGGCAGAAGTGTCGTTATTCTTTTACATTCTTATGTTGCGGTTTCTTGGATGAATAGTGTCATATAAGTAAATTGACAAGTAAATCATAGCAGATCTCTTCAAGAAACAGTATAAGTTTCATTATAACATTTAATATCGTAATTGTAATTGCGTTAGTTAATTAAAAAACAATTTAAAAAATTAAATTTGTTTTTACTCTCCTGAAAATTGTGAATTTTTGAGTTGTGACAGTCTGCTTCTCGGGGTGTGATATATTTGACAGACGGATGAGATTGTTAAAATTATAAAGAAGGGAAAATGCGTTGCCCCCGGTATGTATACGGAGATAAAAATTTAACTTGCGAGGAGTATCGTACTCTAGCGCAAATCCAGAAAACGGAAGTGAAAAAAGAAGAGAGGGAAGCGGGAAGGGGGAGTTACATCGAAATAATCGCGATTTAAGCTTGAATCGCGCCAATGTTATCTCACCTTTTGTTCAGCCGCAGGCGCGTTACTTTACGGCGATACGAAGTCGCCGGCGGGACGATATGTAGGGTAATCTTGACACACACTGATTAACAGAGTTGATTAACAAAGCCGCGCGGCGCGGCGCACTCTGCCGCGATCGCTCTGCCGGCGCGGCGTATTCCTCGCTCCGATGCCGGATAGCCGGATAGCCCCCCAATTTACACGGACATACCTCCCTCGATCCCTCGGTCCGGAGGTTCCCGGTGAGAAGGAAGAAAAAAAAAGGAAGACACGCGGTGGCACACGCGCGTACGCGCGGCGCACGGGACCACCTTACCCGGCGCGCATTGTCGGCCGTGAAAAATGGAACGGCGCGAGGAGGAGGCGGGCGATCCAGTTCTCCGCGCGCGCGTCGTTAAACGAACACCCGTTTCCCGTTCCTATCGCGCTATCCGGAGAACGGCCGACGAGCGGATATTGGCGTACACGTTCCTCCCGACCGCGACTCGCGATCTATCATCGCAAATCGCGCCCGCGCGTCGATCCTTATCCGCGGTTATTCTTCATCCCAGTTCACCGGCGAACTGGATGCGGTGGTCCCCTGTGCCCTTGCACCTGGAGGGTCGATCGGATTCGTCACCGCGAATCCAAGTTTCGCGAAACTTCGACGTGGACGAGCGTTACATTAGGCGATTTTTTTAAAACCAATTGAATCGGCAAGTGAGTCTGATTATTTCATCCCCCTTCCCCCCCGGATGACCCCCTGTGCCGTTCCTTGCCAACGGATCTACTCGCGTCTCTTTAATCTTGAAGGAAGCTCTCGGAGCGCTGTCTCGAGCTCTTTGGGGCACCGTTCGACGAATTCGCGCTTCGTATAATTTAAAATAATCGGCGTCCCATGTCGATCGCCGTGTCGCTGGTCCGGAGACGATTCCTCATTGATCACGGTCGCTACCGCCGCGTTTTTGTCCGCGATACGTCAAACGGCCGCGCCGGATTCGGTCCCGTGATCTCGCCCGCTCGCCGAGTCAGCCGACAGTAACTAGCGGCTCGTGGCTCGTGCTCGCTCCGACTTTCAGACTGACCGCGCTCCCGCACGTCGTCTCCGGCACGAGACCACGCGTCTCCCTCCTCGAGTTACGCGCCGTGGATTACCCTCCTCGCCGGCTTCGTCATTCAAGAATACACACACCTCCTCGTCCAATTCTCTCCAATTCTCCGGTCGAGGGGAAACGACGCGAGTCGCGCGATTCCTCCGAATAAGCCTACAAAAAGAAAATGCAATTAAGTCGATGAAACATCAACGCGGAACCAGAATGGAGAGAAATCTTAAATAAATAATAATTAATAATTGAATCTTAAATAAATCGCATTGGGTAAGGAGGGTTCGGACTAAAGGTAATACAAAGGTATTATCCGGAGTAGCGGCGTGTCGTGGCTATTCGCGAACCGAGCTGTCGCTGAATCTAAATCACGAAGTGATATTGGGAGCACGAGAACGAAGAGACACAAGCGGAAAAGGAAGACAGGCGTTACGTAAAATGAAAGAACCAGCCGGCCGGGGAATGAAAAAGGGGAAAATCGAGGGGGCATCCACGAAGATAGCGGTATATAAGCGTCGCTGTAAAAAGGAGAAAAAAGGTGGTTAAAGAGGGAAAGGTAGTTACGGTTAGATCTTATGATAAGATTTTATAATAAAGATTACCGTTAACAATGACGAAAGCGCTACCTCCTCGCCGTCGGGATCACCCCTCAAATATCGACTGTAATTAATACATCCTTGACTCGAGAGGTCTTCCATCAGTGTCCAGGTCCTCCTTCCCACGCCAACGTTAGACGAGAAGAGATTTAGGAATCGGCTTTGGTCAAACGACCTCTTGGCAGTCTAATACTTAAAGATTTGTAAAGAGAATGATGACGTTAAATACGCGATTAACTATAAATCAATTGTAGTAGCCACGTGTACCCCTATCAAGACCGGAATCAGTCGCGCGCGGGCAAACGCGCTCTCTCGCGAGCATCTGGCGGCGCCGACTAACATAAAATTTATAAACAATTTCGCACAAAAATACTCATTTAAACCCTAAACCCCTACGGCAAATGCCGATCGACGCTCCCACCAAGAGTCAGGATGAGAGTCTCTATCTCACAGAGAGTCGCGAATGATATTTTTGGAGGAAGAACGCATTCAACAACCATGCAACCTTACATCACACTCCACCACAACTCCAACCCCAAACAATATTCCATACATACTAGGGTTTAAATTATAACAAGCATTTTATGGCACTTGTATATTTCATTCTTCATATGTAATGCATGCACGTGTGCATGTACGTATAAACCAAACTTAAAATCGATCTACTCTCTCACAAATCGGCTATGATAGTTCGACGTGTACGTGTTTAGTTATTGTCCAAAAGTATAGCGATATGCTTATTGGCGCGGAGAGCGAAATCTCCAAGTTAACTTCTAAATCTTTAGAAAACACCGTTTCGCGTTCGTGTGACCCCAACAGGTTCGCGTAGGCACGTTTTTAGATCAATAAGTTTTGTACAATAGAGTAACATACGCCGCTAATCAAACGCTCGTGGCAAAGATATGTATCGCAATATGTCCGCACGACAAAAGGATTCTGGACTAACAGCGATTTTTTTTGTACTGAGATCGATGATTATATATACTTTGCTGATTTCTCTCTCGTGTGGCCTCAAAACTGCAAGTCCAGCCCCAGTCCCATATTGCTAAATCTTGCCGAGATGCACGATAAGATATACGGCGCGATCCCTTTCAATCAGGAATCCTTTCGTCATGCAGAATGGCAAGAGGAATACAAGGTATTCCTTGTGCGAAGAGTTCGGCGCGCGACCCCGATCCGCAAAATCTCCAGAAAATCATCGGGAATGTGAAAAAAAATTTCTTCATCTCTTGTAAACACGATACCGATCCTCGAGGAGAGCGAGTCGAGTATTTTTTTCTGAATCTTCAATTAATTAAAAAAATAGTCTCAGCCTTAAATATCGCGATCGCGATTTTTCTCATCCAACTCACACATCATCGAACATACGTGAAAAAACGTGCGCATTCACAACTCAACTCTCCACGAGCGCTCATGTAACTTCCGTGACTCGTATCGTAGATTAATAATTAAACGCGAAAAAGGTATTTTTTACCTTCCTGCGAGCACATTAATCCCAATCGATTGTCGGAAGCGGGCGGAACGGTGAAGCGAACTTCTCGAGTTCACGTCGACCGAAGAGTTTCGCGACAGCGCGATCGCGCATTTTCTGCACTCACATGTGAATGCCATGTCTAGGACAAATACAAGTATCCTTCAAGTGTGCGAAGACTTCGGCGCGCAATTCCGATCTGCCAAAATCCCGGAAGATTATCGCAAGAACATGAAATTGTCTCCCCCCCCCCCCCCCCCCCAAAAAAGTATGATATCGCGAGTGCACGTTTTTCCCATCCAACTATCGAAGATACGTGAAAAAAAAAAAACACATATTTATAACTCAATTTGCTTTATCGTCGCTTACAGCAAACATTCCGCTCAACTATAAACTAAAAGACGTCCCTCTTGATTTAGGACGTCTCGAGTAAAAGGCACGTTTTTAGTTTTGTACAAATAAGTTTTGTATAATAGAGAATGTGTTTCAAAATTCATTGCCAGCGTATGGCAATGAATGTTACACATAACTTACATACGCTATAGATTTTGAGCACTGGCAGTAAATTTTGGAACGCAGTCAGAGTAGAATGCGCTCGTCAGATCTCTCCTACAAATAAATCCTGCAAACGTATATTCAATATACAAGGTGTGTGATAATAATTCTAACAGAGGCTAAGTAGAGTGGATTAAACTGAATAGGAAAGTGCCTTTTCGCAATTATGACAATGAGTTTTTTTTTTACTTATGAATACGTATCTTTCCTCGCAGAACCTTTTCAAGGACATAAACTTCGGCTGTATAGTCATATCCTACTCTATCACCTTATCTCTTTCTACAGGTTTTTGCTCAAGATGGAAGCTACTTCATCTAAGTATTTTCAAAACTCCATGCGAAATCTTATCACATCAAGAGCAAAGACATGGACCATTGAAACGTTTCTTGTCCCGAAATACAAAGACCTCGAGTTCTATTGATGCAGTTACAAATGCATTACCAACTTTTTTAAAGACAATCCAAAATAAGATGTACAGCATTAAGATATTCGTGGAAGGCGCCAAACTCGAAACGAGACATACCATTTCAATAATCGCCAAATGGTACAATATTTTACTTGTGAATACGAATTTTGCCTCGCAGAATCTTCTTAAGCATGATTTTATTAATTAATAACATTAATTTATTGTTATAATAGCAAAACGGTACAGGACTTTTCAGTTTAATCCGCTCTACCTACCCTCTGCGGGTATTATTATCTGACATCCCGATATAAGATAGTCAACAACAGCGTTTTAAAAAGCTGAAAAGTTTAAGACACTTTACTCGTGATACAAATGGCAGTGGTACTTTGAAGTCTCTACTTGGAATTAAAATGACAAATATAACCGAACCGTTCGTGGCGCGTTCGTGATATTATGACTAAGAGAAAATCTTCGATTTTGTTAGGGTTACATGCATCAAGATGTGAATCGATTCTTGGAAATCGTGATACAATATTTTCGCTAAGAGGAAATCTCCAACCCCTAATTGGGGAATTTGTTACGGATATCAAGATTGTAAAATCAAAATCGATTTTGGACTTAATCTTCAGGAAGACGTATGAATAAATATTGCATTGTGTTATTCATTCCAAGATCGATTTCAAGGGTTTTTCGGAGACTAATCATCGAGAATATGTAAAAGGCCAACAATACAATTATCAGTTTAATGTCAAGTAGAGCTCGGCAGAATTTTAATTCGTGATTTATTCCGAATTAAAATCGACGCGACGAAATTGATTAATGTGTAGGAGGATCGAGACAGATATGAAATATTTTATTCCTCACTATGATAACAAGATTATGTCGTATTAAAATAAACTTCAGTTGTACATTTAACAACTTTGTCCATGAACACGTGCTCGTTATCCGCCACACTGTGATCACTTCACGATCATAATGTGACTCTCGTAATGCAGCGGAATATCGCAATTGACATAGTAATTTGCGCACAAATACACACGTGTACGCACATTACACATTTGTAACGACTCACGTATAATATACGTTGTTTCTTTAAGCGGATTCATCGCATAATCGTCTTTCTCTCTCCCTCTCTCTCTCTCTCTCTCTCTCCCTCTCACAACATTTACAAACAAAAATTGCTACGTTATACTGTTTAAGAATTGTCTATCGAGTAACACAATTTAATTATTAGTAATTAGTACTAAAAAAATAATAACAATAGTCTTTGGTTCGTACGCTTTTCTTCCATTTCGAAGAGAATGCGTATCGTTTGCAAACATCTACATTATTTCTATTTCATTATTTACACTATGTAAAGTTATTTCCTGTAATTTCAATTTAATTGCTTTTCTTTTCTTGATGTGCTTAAAATAATGAGACGAGAAGTTTCAGTGATCTCGAGAGCGTAATTTGTACGAAAATGCATTATCCTGATACATGTCTTTCGAACGCGTTTATTAAAAATAAATGCGATTCGCGAGGGCAATAGAAAAACATTCTCAATGCTTACATTTAAACATTTCTGAAACATAATGAATTCAAGAACGACGTGAACAAAATAGGACAAGATAATCTGAACTAAAACTGTAAAATGTCATGCGAATACCAAAATTATGTAAAATAATGGTACAATCGCGCCTCATCGACATTTATAAGCATTCTTGCTCGTTACTGTTTCGTTACAGAAAATTGCTGCGAACATTATACTTTACGAGAATTTCAAAAGTCGAAATTCTTCTCTTACAAAAATTCTTCTCCGTGTGGAAATTAAGCGACGATACTCGAGTAACGAGATGGGCACTCCTCAGCCGTCTGTATTATCGATAAAATTATCATTTTCGTACTTCTAGTCTTTCGTCGCATTAGTTTGACAGAATTGAAAATGCTTCTCTACGATTACATACATTAATAATCCCAGAAAACTCCGATTTCATATGGAAAACGAGAAATAGTTGCGGAATTATAGATTTTCTTACTTGTACTTTTATCTCAGTATGGTATCTATCTTGTAGACGCGCTGTCAACTCATCATAACATGTACTTCATGTAAAAGCTGCACAGTTTATACGTTTTCCATATGAAATCGGAGTTTCCGGGGATCATTGATAAATGTATTGCTAATCTTAAAGAAATATTCTCAATTCTGTTAAATTAATGCAATAAAAGACTAGAGGTACGAAAATGATAATTTTATAATACAGACGGCTGAAGAATCCCCAACCTGTATCAGACTACCGACTGTAAAGGCTGCCTATTCAATCAGTCGGCACTTCATTGTGTTTGATTTACTAACAATAAGAGTCGGTAGTCGTACCCAGAAATGGTAGATTTAAGCCGCGTTTTTCCCTCTCCACTTACGCACACAACGACCCTCTATCTATTTGTGTGACGACTGCGCTATACGAAGTACGACTCGTAGTAGGCAGTCGAGTCGACCTTTGCAATCGGTAGTCTGATACGGGCTTAAGACTCCTGCAATGCGATTCTGTAATTCGTTATGCGTCGTTATGTGCTCATAACGACAACATAATGAGTTACAGAATCGTGGCCCTGTAGTCCTATTCAGTAATTCTAACGACAGCTTTTTTCCATATAGTACACCTACGCAACGATCACATTAACGACACTGTCGTTAAGAATTACAGAATAGGTGCGTACTGAGTTTGCGGTCATGTTACATCGTGCCGTCAGAGACAAAAAATGACACACTGAGAATTCTTGCATGTCATTTTCAAATAAAAAGATAATTGGATAAAAAAAAAAAAACACTTCAGATCGCTTTAACATACTTATAAAATGTTCCGAAAACTATTCTTTTCCCTTGACAGTTAATAAACAGCTGTAAAATGTGATACAGCCAAGTCATGCAGACTTATGCGCGGGCGCATGACTCGGCTTCATATTACATTTATTTTAGGGCTGTTTATTAACTGTCAACAAAAAAAAAGATAGTTTCCGGAACATTTTATAAGTGTGTTAAAGCAATCTGTTTTTTTCATCTAATATCTCTTTTATTTGGAAATGGCATGCAAGAATTCTCAGCGTGTCATTTCTCACCTCTGACGAACTAATAGCGGATTCGCTATAACATGACCGCGGCGAGTACCCAGGAGTAAGGAGGAGTCTTAAAGTATTTTTTTTATTTCTTTTTGCTAAAAAAAAGAAGACAATAGTAAGACAAACATTTTCTCTTAAAAAAATTAGAAATTATTATATTTACTCAGATAAATTCTTAATCGTTCTATAATCGGTGTTATTCTGTGATGTTAATAGCAGCAGTGATATATGTATATGATAACGATAATTGTTTAGCAATTTGTACGAATGTGACAGTTTCTAAAAAGTATAATAATTTGTTAGTTTTAACAGCAAAATAAGATGACAATGATAATGGCGATTATTTAGCGATTTACATGAATGCTTCTAAAAAGTGTAGTAATTTCTAGTTTTTTGAGAGAAATCTTTGTTTTTTTTTTTATTAGTCTGATATATCATCATCGTTGCATTCCGATTATCAACGATAACAATAAATACCGATAAAGATCTTCTTAATTTAAAGATCTCCCAGGCTTGAAGATACCGACGTAATAGAAGACGGACGTGACGAAGATGACGAGGTCGCATACGGCATATCCACAGCAAGTTCGACTAACATCTTAAATGTATCACCGTTGCACTGATGAGCGTAAGCATTTTTTAAGCTCTGCTGGGATAGACCGCGATACGCGATTATCTGCTCAATTTGCGACAGATGTTCACGGGGAGCGCTCCAGTACGCAGCAGGTTCTGCAGAGCTGTGCCTATACATAAAAAAAACATCGTCTTTAATCCATTATCCTTAAAATCTGACGTCTGTGTCTTTTTCCACAGCGTCAGGATGCGGTGTTGGGTGCGCCGTGAGAATCAACGAGAATTCTCAGTGCCACCAAAAGAACGCATATGTACTCGAAACGCTCGACTTTCGTATACATGATTCTCTCTCCTTATTTTCCTTTTGAGATTGCCTGCTACTTTAATTATTTATTTATTTTACGTCGGAGAAAAACTGACGATTGTGACAGCGTGATAAGAGTGTGTCAGTGTGTCGAAAGTTTAAGATCGTTAGAAGGCGGTTAGCAGATGGTCTTGCAACAATTGCAACTTGCCTTCGCCGATCATACGGATGGGTAATAGCGTCGCCGTCTAATTGCTCGACTTGAGCCTCGGCATAAGGACGAACGATTACGTTTGGCCACCGTATCGAAGGATGTTCCTCCTCGCTGTGGTAGTCGTTCAGACTGCTCTCGTAATCGTTCGGACTGTCCTCACTTCTGCGTACGCAAATCTTGAATGATACATCTAGTATTTTCACGCACTTAATCTACCCTCCCGCTTATTTTTTTAATAAAAAAAAAAAATAAAAAAAATAAAAAAAATAAAAAAAAACTTTGCCATTGTTAGCATAATAGCGAATTAGGTGATAAGCGGCTAAGCAACATTTTCTTTCGAGTTTTTGTATAAATCAGTCGGCATCGTTGAGTCAGTGGTACTTTTCGTTCTTAATTCTCGCGAGAATAACGAAATAGACAAAATACATGTAGAAAGAAATATTTACCGATATTCAGATTCGCCCAACATGCGAGATATGTTATATTTCGCCGATCCATGCGGAGATGTGTCATCCTTGAGGGGTTCGAGAGGCGTTCGGCGACCATGCCGAATGTGACTGCCGGAGCTGCGACGAGTACGACGCGATATTGTATATAGATTAGGATTTTCACCGGCATCTTCTAGCATACGAGGTAGAATGCGTCGCCTAGCGTTTATGAACCAGTTACACACCTGCAAAATTCAATATCAGTAATGTTAACAAACTGATGCAGACTGGACGATGATGTTGTTGTTCTCTGGAAAGTCAGTTTGAATCCAGACAGTAGGCATGTTTAAAAGATGTTTTAAAGACACCTTCTTTCACGTTCTTCTGACCCCTTTATAAAACGTCTGAGAAATTTTAAGACATTTTCCAGGCATCTCATAAGACGCCTTAACGTTCTCGGGGAACCATTAATAACGCATTTGAACTAGTTTCCGAAGCGCGGATTCTAGCTCGCGGCAGGTCAGGGTTCGGAGTAAGTGCGGAGGAAGATGCAAGACTCGGTTTTCTGAATAACAATAGTTAACGATTTATTGCGTCACGGGGAGACATATACATTTATTTTGCGGTGGTATAATACAGTGTCGCGTGCGTTAACGCGTAAGTCGTCGCGCGAAGCGCGGCCGCGATGAGCGATGCTAATTGTGGAAGCGCGGGCTCCTACAATGCTGTGCTGCGATACGGCGACGACCGGCGCGGGATGTCCGCGGTTTGCAATCACCGTTTGAATTGCGCAGCGTAATCGGCGTATGGCCTGGTAAAAACGCGGTATCGGTGACTGAGACCCTTAGCGAGCGTAGGGAATGAAGCTCTACCCTGATTCACGGCGGTACGGCGAGACGGAAGCGGTATCGGACGGCTGAGACCTTCAGCGAGCGTAGAGAACGAAGCTCTACACTGGTTCGCGGCGGCAAAAAAGATAGCAGGTCGGGATCGAGTCGGTTTTCGTGATACGTCATTCGACGGAGCCAGAGAGCGTCTCTCTACCTCGTGAGCGTAGAGAGCAAAGCTCTATCCTGGTTCGCGAAAGTCGGGCGAGAAGGAAGTGGCAGGTACCGGGTGGCCCGAGACCTTCGCCGAGCGTAGAGAGCGAAGCTCTGCACGGATTCGCGGCGATACGGCGAGAAAGACGACAGGTCGGGATCGAGTCGGTTTTCGAGATACGTCATTCGACGGAGACCAGAGAGCCGTCTCTCTACCTGATGATTCGACTCGGGGATTTCGACGTGCGAGAGCAGCAGACTGATCGGATGATGGCTCACGGCAGAATCTGTTTTACGGTGAAATTCGCGGGATTATATTATATATAATACACCCCGCGCGGGGTGACGTTCGGTTGCGGCGGGGGTAGATGGTCGCGAGCGCTGGGGTGGATCGGTGTGGTTTAGTCGGAAACGGGTACCCCGACGCCGCGTTCTCGCTCGGCGGTTTGGAGCGCTCTCGGGACCGCTCAGCGCTCCAAGTCGACTCCATCGGATCGTTCGTTACGTGTCGCATATCGGTGTCTCGTAAACGCGGTTCTTATTGATATATCCCCACAAGAAGTAATCCATGTCAGAGGTGTTAAGAAAACGGAGCAATTTAGGGCGTATGTTTATAGAATCTTTACTTCTTAAAATAAGTCACGGAATATCCCCTTCAATTTTTTGTACTTACTTAGGAAACACCTTGTATATACGTATAAGTATCATTATTATTATAACAAGTAAATCTGTAAAATAAAAAATGGTAAACTATAACTAACTTTTTTCATAGTTAACATATAAATATAAATCAATACAGATTAATCAAGAATTGTCTAAATCAGGCATGATAAAAAAAAAATGACTTTGCTTCACCAGTAAATAATTAACGCAGGTGACTTTTAATCGACGAAAATGTGTTCCATTTTTACTATTATAAAAGAATCATGTAATGAAATTGTTTTAAACAATAGTTTTAATATTCTTTACATATCAGATATAAATTTATTCAGCATACTTTTTTATAAATTTGTCTTCTTACAATTAGTAAGAAAGTGTTATGTATGATTATGTAAGATACTTTGTGTGTCATATCGAAGTAAAATTAAAACTTTGTTTTTTTTTCACTTTACTTCGATATATAAATATATATATATATAACACGAAGTATCTTTTAGACTTATAGCGTAGGAAAAAAAAGTATAACAAGTAAATAACATTTTCATGTAAAAATTTGTTTTGTAACACATGCGAGAGAAAAAGTAACCCGGCCGATGTGACCATTTGAGTCCATTAAAAGTTTCCTACGTAAATCAGGTATTGTCAATTTTTCCTAAACCTTCTCCGGCCGCTTCTTCCTTTTCATTGCATGAGTGGGAAAAAAGGAGAAGTAAGAGTCACATCATCGCGACCCGCAAAGAGTCGCATGGTATTTTTGGGAACTGATACTTCACTCATTTAACCATACACTTTTCTCTATCATCCACGATCGACAACTACACTCGTTCCCCAAAGCGTATATCAGAAATATTGAATGGCTCGAATGAAAAGTTTGGCATGTATACTGTGTACCCCGCCATGATGTACTAAAAATTGATGATGCTTGTCACGCCACGAGGCCATAAGATATTCAGAATTGATACACGTTTTATGCCACGAAGTATTAAAAATTATTAATTGCAAATGCAATCGAGAAGTACACGTGATCTCGATAAATTGATCATATGTCAATGTGTCAATGTATCTTTATTAACAATTTATTAGCGAGGCAAGGGGATGTAAAAAGAGCACTTACTTGAAGGAGTGACAGGCCCGTCTGCGTGCATAGTGCTTCCTTCTCGGCTTCGCTCGGATAGGCGTTGAATTTATGCTCTCGAAGCCACTCTTTTAAAATCGTCACGGCTTCCCTCGGCAGGTTACCTCGAGTTTTTCGCCCTGATGCATTTCGAACGGAAACACGTCGATTGGCGCGATTCGCGTACGGTGAAGCTCGCGGTGATGTATTTTCTGCTTCTGACGAAATATTTCCTACGTCGTCATCGGAAGGCGATCTTCTCGCGGCGCGGCGTCGATTGTAACAGGGCACTGCAAAAAACACAACCGTGTAATATATGTCGTAAAATTTTTAAAAATAAAATTAGGACATAGACGCGACGAAACGTACTCTTCGAAGTATAAATCTGTAGTGACTGCAGTTATTGTAGGTAAATCGATGGGATAGGATTGGAAATTAGAAAAGTTTTCTTTCTCCACCGTTTTCCCTCTCGACTTATACACGCATAAAGGACGACAGAGTTCTATCCAAATGGCGACACTACAGAAAATGGTGGAATGCGTGACGAATCGAAGTAGCTGCTGTTGGTGGGAGTTTTCCAACAAGCGACATAAGTCGACGCAAGTGCCATTTTGTCTTTGTTACTCATTGCCAAAAAAAAGAAAGATAGAACGTTTGGGTCGACTTGTGTCGCTTGCTAAAAAGCTTCCGTAAAACCCGACAGCCACTTTGAAATGTGCATTCCATTCGCAGAGTGAAGTTTCGTGACATGTAGTAACAATTGCTGTAACCGGTTTTCCCTAACATTTCTAAAACGTGTTTTTCCGCATTTTCTATAGCATGCTCCGCGAACGCACCCCTATACATAATTATACTATAGAATAGAATATACTATAGAATAGAATACCCTATACTATAGTATAATTATACTATAGTAAATACTATAGTAAATAGTATACTATAGTATAAGGTATTCTATTCTATAGTATATTATAAATAATCAATACATATTTTTGTAGAAAATTTAACGATCTACAAAAAAGGTCTCTTATATTTTTTT